TGGGGGCAGAAAGTGGGGACGAAAGCAGACACTAGAACAGGACAGGAGGTAAAAGGAGACAAATTTAGAGAAGAAAAATTTCCGTCGCTATCTGGATTCGAACCAGGGACCTATTGAATGAGAGGCGAACACCTTAACCTCTAGGCCACGAGTGCCCCCATTCCATCTTCAGTTGCCTGCTAAAATTGAACTTCTTTAAAAAGGGGGAAAAAAAAAATTCCTCATTGTAAAAAAAAAAATGGTGTCATACAGTATTTTACGGTTGTGTCAAGTAAACAACTTGACTGTCTAAAAAAATAAATCAATAAGAATAATAAACACAATAACAATTAAAATAATAATAGTAATAGAGTAATAAAATAATAATAGAATGGAGACAAGGGACAAGAGAGAGATTTTTAGAAAAAAAGTTATGACAGGGCTGACAACTTTTCTTGCAGTTGTTACAAATAATGCTGCATTCACATCAACAGACAATACTTCTTGAGTGTATCATGTGTACATATTGGACTTTTACACCTGGGAAGTTTTTAATGAAAATTATATTCTTCTCCATTTCTTCCACAACCATCATCATCATCAAGAGTCATCATCTGCAACAGATATTAGTGATTATCGTTTTGCCATTCAGTCCATTGCGCAATGTTCTTTAAAAAAAAGTGATTTATCCTGATTTTTCCCCATCACCCATTTAATTAGGCTTTCCAGGTTAGTTGCTCCATCCGGGTCTATCCTGCCTCATTTGACTTCAATTTTACAAGAAAAATTCTAATGTTTAAGAACCTTAGCCTTATAATGTCTATTCAAGTGTCCAAAGAACTGCGTTTGTCTCTTTCTAATTGTTTAAATATCAGCCTTCATATTACTACTACTGCGTTTGTCGCGGCCGCGATTTTTGGCATTTTTTGGTCCGCGAATCGCGGCCGCGATTTTTGCATTTTTCAAAAAAGACAAAACAGCATAGCTTCTTCACAACATATTAGACATGTATTTTGATAAGTTTTAAGACGTCCATGTGTATCTATTTTCATGCGGAGAATATAAGTACATTACCATACATTTATATTGCTGTTCGTCTTTTATTTTTCCCTCTTTGTTGTGTTTTAATTTCTTGGTGTTTCAATTTTCTAAAAATTGTTCTGATGATTTGTTTTTCTTTTTTTTTGGTGTGTTTATACAGCGTAATGTCATTTAATTTAATGCTGTTCCTACCCTTTAAAAAATTTAATGTGTTATGTTAGAGCGTGTCTCCACCAAAACCGAATACTGACACTGGGACGCCCATTGTGTGTGATTCCATAATTTACATGTAATATCCTGTGGGCCTGGATCTACTTTTTCTTGAATTACACACGTTTAGGGTTAAAATAACTTAAAACAGCCAATCTTCGGATAGGTGGACACTTAAAATTTGTTAATAACTGTGGTTATTTATTCGTGCTGTTCAAATTTTGATTTCATTCTGTTGTCAAATCTGTATTTTTCACGTTTTTACCCTGCGAGTGACTACAAATGATATTCTGAATGCTTAAAACAGAGCACAAGAAATTCTGGGGCTATAGATAGTTACCTCTATCAACATATTGCTATACAGTCGAACCTGCCCTGACGGCCACCTCTATAAGACGGCCACCTGTACAAACGGCCACTTTCCATTTCCCCCCTTGCGCTTTTTCTATATAATTTAACTGTGTAAACCGGGCACCTGTCCAACGCGGCAGCGGCCACCATAATTTAACACACAACCCCATCATACTAGCAATAATACCCGTCTAAGACAGTCACCTTAGTGGCTCCATTCCGTTTTGTCATAAATTGTGCATTGGCCCCTGGCGTTGTGGGCGAGCCGTCATAATTCAATACCCTGTCGTTGTTGTTAGGTAGTCCCTCCAACCGATCATGTTGCGTAGGCCCCTCCCACTGTTGACCAATAGCTACCAATTTTCAGCTGCCGGTGAGGTAAGCGTGTGATCCCTCATAACCCATAAGCCCTGCCCAGAACTCATACACAAATAGTAAGTGAGATGAGTGGTCACTGTTTACCCAGTCTGTAACAAAGTAACAGAGGACGTCAACATGAACTTGTTACAGAAGTGTCGCTCGTTCTCCGACCCATGTGTTTGTTTTAACATGGCACTCGGTCTTCCTCGTCTTTTATATTTCGTTATATTGTCGTCCTTGTGCAAAATCAGCGGCAAAATAAAAATTACAAACGAAATACTGTACAAACCAACAACAACAACACCAACAAAGACAACATAATGGGGCTACTTTCGATTGGGGCCTCAGATGGGAATGGTTTGTTTTCTTTATCTTGATCAGTCCTGCCTAAGACGGCCACCTGTCTTATACGGCCACTTTTCTCCTTGACAATGGGTGGCCGTCTTTCACAGGTTTGACTGTATATGCGTCGTCACAGAGAGTTGAAAGTTTGAAAATTAATGGCAACTTTTTTGGCAACTTTTGCCACTTATTGTGGCAACCTTTGGACAAAAAAATGGCAACAAACGCAGATGCAGACAGACAGACAGACAGACAGACAGACAGACAGACAGACAGACAGACAGACAGACAGACAAACAGACAGGCAGACAGACAGACAGACTGACAGACCGACCGATGAATCAATAGATAGATAGATAGATAGTAAAACCCTCTACTATAATTATTTTTCTTTAAAGATAGATAGATTGATTGATAAATAGATAGATATACGTATATAATTATACTTTCAAAAATTTTTGTTGTCTGTTTCGTTTTTGTTATTTCAAAATGAAGGTGTTTTTACACCAACAACAAAATTTAGATAATTTAGGAGGAGGGTTTCTAACTCTGCCTAACAGGGCCAACTCAGGCTGAGAGGGATATATATACAATATAATTTCATATTAATAAAATCCTAAAACCCAATCATTACAGAATAGAGATTTCTACACAGGACTGTAATTTAAGCACCTAGCAGACTTCATGTTTAACGGAGATTAGTAAATCCAGTGGCACAGTTTTTAAGTTACATAATCTAAAATAGTTTTTTTTAAGGGAAATGTTCCCATTACATTGTGGACGGGTGGCAGCTTCCTAGTGTCTCATCTCCCTGTTCCACGAAACAAAGCCATATTAAACCTCCCAATCCAGCTGGGCACAGTAAACAGGAAAGAAAACTTAATTTGGGGGGGGGGTTGTCACAGCCATAGCGATTATTATTATATACTGCTCTGACGACCACCTGTATAAGACAATCACCTGTAGCCTATAACTGGCCACTTCTCATTTTCCCCTTGCGCTTTTTTTTTCATTATATGACACTGAAAAATAGAAACGCCACAATGGTGGCCACCTTAGATGATTTTGACACATTGGGAAAAATTCAACCAATCCACCCTTTTAGTTAGACATGTAAACATATGACAGCCATAATATTTTACTGAGGATACATTTTCAATCTGTTTAAAAAAATGTCCTTAGATTTTGCTGTTACAAACTGAGAAGAAAATCACATAGACTAATGGCTTATCTTCATTCCAACACCGCCATTTTCATCTTGAACCCTTGTGAATTTTTGGCCTTCATATTCCAAGTGAGTCTAATAATTTTGACTAACCAATAAGCTGACTTGTCAGCAGAGAAGACAGAATGAATTTCAAACATTTCTAAAGCATTTCTGAATAGTCAAGTCTATTCATTGGTTTCTAGATTCTAGTTCTATCTCCAGGTAAATAGCTGTCACCACGTTTACAGTGAAACAATCTTTAAAAATATCAGAAACTATAGATGCGGGGGGGGGGGGGGGGGGGGGGGGTTGGTTACTTTTAAGAGCACCCAAGCAAAAAAATGAATGGTGCACCATGATTGCCAAGATTGAATCATTGAATCTTTCTTTCAAATCTGGCATTTGAAGATGGTGATGATAACAATGATAATTACACTGCACTTACTTCTTCCTAAAGTTAAAGTCACATTGCCATTGGGCAGGTCATAGAGGAATGTCTTTCTAGGAGACTACATTCAGATTCTAGAATGCACACTGATTGTTGGCCAATCGAACTAGATTCTAGAATCTAGATTCTAGCCTGTGTATCTATTCACAGTATTTGACGAGAGTTCAGTCTAAAACTCAAAACACATAGATCTATGTAGACAAGTACTTTCAACTGTTGCAGTTGGCTTGCCCCCATAGTTCCAACACCCGATAAATAACTGCCAAGTAGCTGGTGACACACCAAGAACTCGAGAAGATGAGTAAAGAAACAAGTTTTACAGCAACTGTATTTTTGGTCAGGACGCTTTGTCTCTAGAGAGACTGGATCTAGATATATATCTAGATCTAGATCTAGATCTAGAATCTACATCTGGATTATCTAGATTCTAGATCTAAGGATCTAGATCTAGATTAGATTCTAGATTCGATTTAGATCTAGAATCTAGATCTAGATGTAGATCTAGATATCTAGATATATCTTGTGTGCAGTTTGTAGCAGTCGACACATCAACAATACAAAAACAACAAAAACGTTTTAAACGCTCGTACAAAAGAAAACAAAAATGTTCAACATCTTTTAAAAATTAGAAGCTTACCTCCAGTTAATTCTCAGCTATGAGCAAAAGATCCAAGACTGACGACATTAACTACGATCAATGATGAAGGGGAAAGGCTTAATCAGTCAACACATACGACACTCATACAACAGTTGTTTATCATGACCACCATGTTGATTGAATGCAAATTATGAATACAACCTGTATTGGAGAGGGAGGAATAACCTAGCTTCTATAACTTACAAAAATATTAATTAGAAAAGTAGAGAAGTATAGATGCTTTAAAAGTACTGATTTGAAAAAAAAATCCAAACATTTAAAATCATCTGATATATTAGATTAGATTATTACATTCCTGCTATCAAGGGGAAAAAAATAACAACAGCACCAAGCTTGTATCACGGTCTAAAACAATGAATGACCCCGACATTTTGCAAAAGTTGTACTGGAAATTAGATGGGATTTCAGGAGGGCCGAAGCGAAGGTTTTTAATTTCACGTCTTGGGCGCTTGGCCTACCTGAAGCCAAAAGGAAAGGAAGACTTGAGAAGACCACTTTCTACTTTCTTCTTGTCCAATCGAGATCTTCAGCCTGCAAAAAAATGTTAGTAGATCTAGATCTAGATATCTAGTTATTTATCGGTAATCCATGTTTACCCTTTTGTTACCATTACGATTTATTGCATAGATCTAGAATCTAGATGATAGATTTCTAGGTCTAGATAACTAGAGGCAACGGAGCAGTCTTGTTTGCGATCGAGTATTTCTGGATCTATTTTTTGAAGTTTAGGAAGACTCTTCTATTCTAGATTTCTAGATCTAGATCTAGATCTAAATCTAGATCCAGTCTAGAGATCTAGAAAAGAACTTTGTAATTGTGTGAATCTAGAGGTGACTCAAGTGACCGATCGAAGTGATTGATCACATTACAATTACACTAACATATTTTGAATTTCATGGTAATTTTTACAAAAAACAAAGGAAGTGATGGAAGAGAATAACCCATGTCTCGCTATTCTCACCCCCTCATTTTACCGGAAATGACCAGTTACACGCTCTCTGTTCCTTGAACCATACTTGTAATTTATTTTGATTTGAAGCCGAGAGGCCTGCCATCGTTAAGTGTGTAAACAACTAATGACTAATGGTCCGGCCACTGGCCTGTCCCACATCACGCGCAGTAGCGTCTGTAGCAGGGGCGGTTTGTTAACTGGGCAAGACCGGCAGTGCCGGTCAGATTTTTGTCAACTGAACTATTGACTAGAGGTTTATTGCTGATGACGATTTTCATTCAGTTTTAAGTAAATCCAAGGAAGTGAGGCTATCCTCACCCGGGGTGAGAATAAAAATACGATCTACCTCTCACCCCGGGTGAGACTTGCCAGCGTAGGCTATTCTCACCCAGTGTGAAACAAGACCTGTTTTTCCTCATTTCGGAATACTGTCTACCGGTGTGGATGATCAAATTGATAAAAGCCAAGAAAAAATTACGTTATAGTGCAAAAGTAAGCTAATTTGATCGTCTTCAAAGACGCTCTATGGTTATTTCACTTTTCGAATCGAGCCGAACTACGCGGGTCGCCATTTTGTTTTCCCCGGAAGTTCTCGCACTACTCCTCTCTCTCTCTTTCTCTCTCTCTTTCTCTCTCTCCACTGCCCACAGACAAAATTGCACGCTTTTAGGCTAACACTAACAGTAGTAATAGATCTAGAACGTTTGTTCACGGGTACAGAATTCTACAATTCTGTTATCACAGTGTAGAATTCTGTGGTTCAGGGTGAACGCTTCACTGGTTGGCCAAGGCTATAACGGTGAACGCCCACCGAGTGAGAATAGCCAAAAGACTCGCCTGCGCTATTCTCACCCGGGGTGAGAATAGAGGTGGCCTAAATCCAAACAAACATGTATCAACATTCAAAAACACCTTGCTGATTTGAAGGCGCTCAAATAGACAATGAGATTCACTGCTGTTTTGTCGCGGCACAACCTCAAATCCCTTCACGTTTGTAAATCGTGCCGGCTCGTAACTTTAAATCGTCTCCCGTCAAGCCGCCACGTCGCGTAAATTCGTAGATTTAGAATCTAGGTCTAGTCTAGACGAGAGGTGTACAATTAAGAGCAAAATCTTATTCTAATAATGATCAACAAGAGATTGAGAAATTAGTCAGTTAACTGAGGAATTAGATCTAGAATAGAGAAGGAAGTGGTTATTCCCACCCCGGGTGAGAATAACCCATGTCTCGCTATTCTCACCCCCTCGTTTTACCGGAAATGACCCAAGAGGGATTAGCGGACCTGACCCTGGGGGGGGGGGGGGGGGGGTCAGGGCTGATGCTCCACAGCATCATGTTCATCACTGTTCGTGTCTGAATAGTCGAATAGTCACAATCAGGGTTGTCAGTTTGGAGTCGAATCCAAGAAATTTGGCTCTTTTGGATTGTGTCTGGCCCGGAGAATTTCATTTAGCTCTGTGGCTCTTTTTGGCTCCAAACTCTGAATGTTCGAGAAAAAAGGGAAAGAAGAGGCAAGAAAGAAAAGAAAAAGAATGAAAGTGCAGAAAAGAGCTTGGATTGCTTAATTAATTGTTAAACTAGTTAGATCTAACTTGATTTAACGCCCTCGCCCGTTTGGTCTGAATAATTTACAACCCTTCTACCGTCGTGCAAGAGCATTAAGTCTCGTACTCACGTCTCGTTACGTTCGTACACATTCTCTGTTCCTTGAACCAAAATTTATTGTGTGCAGGCAGAGAGGCCTGCCATCGTTAAGTGTGTAAAAAACTAATGGTCCAGCCTCTGGCCTGTCCCACATCACGCGCAATAGTGTCTGTTGTGAGCCTTTTTTTAAACTGGAGAGGTCAGGGGGGAGTCCTCGCCTCATGCCCACACTGGGGTGGCTTCTATTCTCACCCGGGGAGAATAAATGTAGCCAATGTAGAATCTATATCTATTTGAAAACTTGCCTTAACCATGGAACAGTAAAAATCTCACTTGAACAGGGGCATGAGAAAATTGCCAGATTTTTTGGTTTTCCTAGATTTTATTCAGTTTATCCTGTGTGATTACTTACAGTGACAGGTGCAAAATTGAGAATTTCTACTGGGTTCGGCACTTATGAAAATTCCCAAATGAGTCTATGATATTTAGGCTCATATAGACTATCCAGTAGTGGTATCATCAATGTCCCTGTGTTATGTTTGAAATATTCAAATTTATCGTAAATTCTTGCTTTTGTCATGACTAGAGAATTTTGGCATTTTTTTGTTGACATTTAAATGACATCGACAAGTACTGGCATTTGATCACTGTTTCTTGGAACTAGTTTCACCTTTGCCGCATTTAATTTTGCCAAAGAGCAACAATCTTCGAAAAGCTTTTATCATGTAATGAATGCAAAACTGCAACCATCAAAAATTGAAAATATTCTTTCTTTGATGCTAAACTTAAATTTGACAAAATCATAACTGTTCATTTCATTGTTTAAGAAAGTGTTTAGCTCTTTGTCTTTCCAAATAATAATAATAATAAATTAATAGAAAACGCGCCAGAATCCACAGAAAGTGCTGGGTGGCACTTACAAAACACACACACATACACACACTCACAAACTCTAAAGCTCATTACCACTACGACATACATAAATTTTAAAAAGCAAAAAACTGACAGATATTTCAGATATAGAGTTCCAGCATTATGAATATATACTTTCCTGAAAAACATCGTCTTCAACTTTGATTTAAATTGATCAATTGAAAGAGACATTTTAACATCTATTTAAATCCAAATTGTTCCAAAGTTTTGGGGCACAGATGGAAAAGGCCCTTTCACCCAACATTGTTCTGGACCTAGGCATGCAGAGCTCATGGTCATTTTAAGATCTTAAATTACGAGATGGTGCTTACATTTCCATAAGTTCTGAAAGGTAATTTGGTGAGCACTGATGTAAAGATCTGTAAATTATAAACCATGTACAAAATTTTTTATTCAATGCGCCTCTCACTGGCAACCAATGGAGGGTTTTCAAAATATCATGAACATGGTCTGAAATTTTTCTGAAGGTTACAAGTCTTACTGCCCTGTTTTGAATCTTTTGAAGTCTGGCAAGAATAGAATCTGGAATGCCAAAAAAAATGAAGTTAAAGAGTTACTTTTCATGTTTTTTGGGTGATGACAATTAATTTTGGCGTCTGGTTGATGTTTTGCTTGGTCAAGAAACCTTTTTCATCTATTTATTCGAGCAAGAGTTTTTCTCAGTTAACCGAGAAATTTGAATAATTGATTGTACTCCTAATGTACAACGTACTTTCTCTAAGATAGTTCCTAGTCCTCTCTATATGTAATACCGTAGTCTCCGTCTGAGATCCCTGTGCTCATGAGCAATGAAAATGCAGGTTCTTAACAATCTCACTATGGGAAGATTCTACAGTGACTCATGTTAAGGCCTTCAATTGCTAAAATGGTCTCCCTTCATTCTAAAATGAACTGACATCACCCTTGGGTGGGTTTATGACGTGAACCAGTCACAGTGGCGTGAGGCATGCGATTCTCACTTATTATCCTATTGTGAGTCTCAAGATCTATGCTTCTAAATCCAGTTGCTCCTCCCTTTTACCTGTCCAAAATTTATAGCTTTCCATCACTGACCGAGTTCCCCGCCTTTGTTGTTAAACACCATTACGTTGTGACCACACCAATTAAAATTCGGACTGTTTCGCAAATTAGGGAGTAGAAACAACCGCTGTAATGGACAGGGAAGAGTTCACTGTTCGATGTGATCCCACCTAGAGCGAACTTGTAGGCCCTACCCATGCAGTGAATGATGTAAGTTTAGGTGGAGAGCTCAAATGCGAGTGCGATGTTTGGGGAAAACAAACACGTTCGTCAGTTCACACCTCAATGTGATCCCGTCCTGGACAAACATTGTACCGTTTCATCGAATTTTACAACGTTTATATGATCACATTCACAAGAGGGACTGATCTTTGACGTGACGGGCAGTTCAATGATCTCAACTTTTCACTCTTGATTGATCGGCTGTGCCCGCCCAGGTTTTTGTTCCATAAATTATGATCTGAAATGCGGGATCTTACCCGAATGTAGACCTTCAGAGTGAGTCAGAGTGGGATCTTAAGGGTGACCTTTGTATATTAAAAATTCTGTTTTCTTAAAACAGCGGGATCTTGCGGGAATCGGGATCGTAAGCGGTGGGATCTTAAACGTGTGCAACTTGCATGCGGGACCTCTAAAATTCTTCACCTTTATTCGAGAAGGCTAGGTGTTAGATCTTACCTACCCTACATATCTACAAACAGAGCTCTTAAAAAGGCCATTCATGACTTAAACTTATTTTGAAAATTTCTCATTAACCCTGGAATGTGGCCATCATAAAAATAATAAATGGGTGTTGTAATAAGAATGTATTTTGTTGAAGGTTTTTTGTTGAATAAGTTCCTTGTCCCTGTGACTTAGGCGTAAATTCTTCCCTCTGAGCAATTGTATTTTATATATGGTCGCTTTTAAGGACAAGCGGGCTAACCCAGATTTCGGGGGTTTCCAGAAATCTTGAGCTACACCAAAATTGGGCATTGCCATACCTATAGAAGTTTTGTTTCAGTGGTGTGTATATTTGTTTGGTTATCGAGAAAACTCTCCTTGTCTTTTAAAGAAACTGAATGAAGGTTCAAAAACTTTACCTTCGATTTTCTGAAAACAGCATTTTTAGGGATAGCCCCCTTGTGCTTAAAAGCGACCATATTATCTCTCTTTTTATAATGTAAAGAATTATTTGAATTTTACCTCCCCTCCACAGGGCTAGCAGTGGGAAAATGATAAACATATCAAATGTTTCAAAACTGGTCCATGACAAAGGTATGTTTGTTTTGGTTTTGCATTGTTGTTGTTTTTGGGGGAAAGTTTTCTTTTACGTTATTAGTTTGTTTCATTGTAGTTTTCATACTGAAAGCAGATAGAGGACGGGATGTACTTAGGCTGCTGCCACCTTTGTTGAGTTTTTTTATAGTTACCTTCTATCCATGTTGTATCATGAGAATGAGAATAACACAATTGTTGTATTATGTATATTAGAGTACATAACGTGAAATGACGATTTGCCAGCAGATGCACAATTATTTTATTTTGTTACTGTTACAGAGTACACAGTTGCATAAAAACTTTATTTTCCATTTTTCTTGACAGCTGACTTTTGTTCTGTAATCGCTCAAAGGATGTCTTGTGTTATCCGAGCAAGACCATTCTTCTCTTTCTCACGCATGATGCATAGAAGAGCAAAAATTCTAGAACATGATAAGAGACTTTGTGCTGTTGTATTTAAACGTTTTAAGCATGTTTAATACAGTGGTCTGTAATCAGGGTAATTTTCAAGCTCTAACTTCATTCGTAGGATAAATCAAATGTTAAAACATTCCAGCTGCAACCAGGAAGTATGTTCCCCATTTTTTTTCTTAAGGTTGATGTTGATTTTGGTTTGTAGTTTCTATTGTTTTCTTTCCATACCAATCAACAGAAAGTCTATGAAGATGTCTACTATCTTGTTTTTTCTCTTATATTTTACTTTTTCCCCAGTGACCTATAATGGACCATTCAAAGCCATGCAGTACAACTGTGAGGGTGCCTTGAATGCGCTGGCAGTCAACAAGGATTTCTCTCAAGTCGTTGTCGCGGGCAGAGCTGGTAATGAACTTTCAAAACCTAAATTATGGAAGTGATTGATGTGCTTGTGGTGTTATTCATCTTTGATACAGAATTAGTCTAAAAGATAGCCGCATGTTTGTCTTTATTACGATTGTGTATATATATACAAGGGACGTCCTGAAAGTAAGTACCCTTTTGAAATAATTATAAAAGAAATAATAATTTTCCCAATCAAAACGATTTATTTTTGAATACCTCATATATATGACTACTTCTCCACGTAGTCATCAGAACTGTTGAGGCATTTGTCGTAGCGTTGGACGAGCTTCTGAATGCCCTCATCGTGGAAAGCTGCCGTCTGTGATGTCAACCCATGTCGAGTCTCTCCTGTGAGATCAGCGTCTTAGTCGAAGTCCTGCCCGGCCAAAAACTCTTTCAAATGCAGGAACAGATGAAAGTCACTCGGAGCCAGGTCTGGGCTGTACAATGGGTGTTTCAGCTGTTCCCATCCGAAGGAGGCGAATTGGTTTTGGGTCTGTGCAAACTTGTGAGGAGTTGCATTGTGGTGTAGCAATTAGGTGCTTTTCTTTATCAAGTATATCATATTGTTGAAAAAACAAATGTTGTTTACTTTTTGGTGAACATTTTCTTATTTTCCCTCCAGTTTTTAAGATTCTCAACATCAAAGAGGATTGCTTCACAGAGAACACCAATCTGCGAGTTAGCAAGCAAAAAAGTGTAAATCTCAATTACTCTGCTGCGGATGTTGCCTGGCACCCTTCTGATGGTAAGGTGCTAAACATTTCAGAAGCTGTGGGTTTCTTCCATATGCATATTAGATGTCTGTGACAGTGACACAATCAAAAGAGAAGTGAACATTGGTTTCAGAAATCTGTGGATCTGCAGTTTGTGTGTGTGTGTGTGTGTGTGTGTGTGTGTATGTGTGTGTGTGTGTGTTAGAGAGAGACATTAAAGATAAAGATACAAACTACTTGAGAATGTACATTCATCTTTTATTCTTGCTTTCCACTAGTATGGCAATCTTTTATAAAAAGAAAATCAGATTTTTGGGGGAGGGTGGATTTTCATCTTTCTAGAACTGTTTTCTTTTTTTTTTTAATAGTAGAGGGTTTTACGGCGCTCGCAACTGCAATAGGTCATATGAGCGCCATTTCTAGAACTGTAAATGAATGTGAATGTAAAGCTTATTTCTTGTGGTGTCAGCATAATTGTAATAGATGCTGGATTTTGGTATGCAGTTGATAACAAAAAAGAAATTCAGTACTGTTGCTTCAGAACTGTCAATACAGTTACTTTTAGTGCGATATGAGCTCCTGTGGAATAATTTAGTAGCTTTTCATAAACTCAAAATAACCCAATTTTTTTTGTTGTTCTTGGTTCAGTCCTTAGCTCAAATTCTTATATGATGCAATTCTTTTCCAGAAAACATTCTTGCCTCAGCTGCAACAAATGGCTCTGTTGTTATCTGGAACCTCAGTAAAAGTGCAAAGTCAAAGCAATGTGAGTATATGGTGTGAAAAAGAAGTGATCATGAGAATATAATTTATCAGGAGAAATGTGAGTATAGTTATAGGAAGTAGACAGAACAGTAAATGGTGGAGAGATCATAACTTTATCTTTACCGGCCGGTCCTATAATTTCTCCTTTAAATGAGGGTTATCATACACATATGATTCTTTTTGTTGTATATCCTAACCATCTTCATATGAAGATTGCTGTTGATTCAGTATTTTTGCTTTATTTCTGATTTCCTCCCCACTTTTTTCCTTTATCCCTAAAAATTCAGTCCTTTTTGCCTTGAGTTTTTAGTGATCTACCTTCTCCCGTCAAAAGAGAAGCTTCCATTTCAATTGTCTATCATCTTAGCTTCTATATTTAAGGACCTAGTTAACAATAGCTCCTGATTTTTTTTAAAAGTCAGTATTGACAGGGAAATACAGAATAACTAGGCTTACTACGTTTGCCTTTAATACTTTGCCATCACAAGGCTTATATAGTAAAAAAACTCTTGCCATCAAAGGCAAAGACACTTTGGGGAAAATCCGAAGAAACTGGGTGGTAAACATCACCGATCGGGGAGATGAGGCGACAAAGTGTTAAGGCAGCAAATTTAAGGCTCATGTAGGAATAAGTCGTCAACATCAAAGTCGCTTGCAATAAGGATGATGGAGCTTACTTTCAAACACTTCTCAGATGATATATTGTCGGGAATGGGTCTCGGAAAAAGAGGAAGCCAGTTTGTTTCAGACTCAAAATACCCCTTTTAATTATTTATTCTATTGCAAATTTACCAATTACATGATTTGCCAATTTCTCTCATTGGTTATTTATTTGTAACTGAAGTGCAAAAGTCTGAAGCAGAAAAATCGTAGTCTGTCATGAAAACTGTTTTATCCTTGTTCTTATTTCACAGCCGCCATTTACTCTGAGCATAAGCGGTCCGTGAACAGAGTGATGTTCCATGCCACGGAGCACAACCAGCTCCTCAGTGCCTCTCGCGACGGTATCGTCATGTTACACGTACGTTTTCTGTATCTTTGTTTTCTTTCTTTTTTTTGTAAATGAAAATGGAATAACCAGCCATCTAGATATGATCCCTGTTTTTTTTTTTTTTTTAATTTAAAATAAATATGTGCACATGATGGCCACACTTGAGTCTCTTGTGGTCCGATAGGCTTTTAAACTGATCTGCATGCTTTCTCTCATAATAAACATAATAAACCCTTGAACAGAGGAAAAGAATAATTTGTATGTTGATGGCAAGGGGGACTGGAGGGGGGGGGGGGGGGGGGGGGTGATGTTATGTCTGCCTTTACAACATTATAAAAAAGTCTTTCTTTGTAAAGTAGAGTTCCTTTTCATGGTTTAAATGAGTATATCTTCTATCCCACATGGCGATGTGCCTTGCACTCCTGAATGAACACACGGAATAAACCAGTGAGGTGGGGGGGGCTCCAACCAAAAAGCAAAACGAAAGATAAGATAGTGTGACAGAAATTATATTGTCCAGACGCTGGCACATTGGTTTAATGTTTCACATACACACACTCACACATACACGCGCATCACACCACACACACACACTCACACACACATACTCTCTCACACCACGCCACTCTTCCACACACATGTACACATAATATATCCTTATGCTCGCAAACAGACCCACAGTCTTACGCATATGATGAAAATGAACACTTATTGTTAACAAGTATAATGTTTAAGCTTGATATGTAAACAGGTTTATGATTGTAGTACTGAAACAGACAGTAAAACAGCTATGTACTCTGACCTGGACAAAGTAAACAGGGATCACAAAGACACTAATGTGAAGAAATCGCGGTGTCCCTGGACCATGTTTCTCATAAAGTTGTAGACAGCCTGCAAAGATTTCAGTTACCGCTCTGGGTCTGTTTAACCACATTTGCTTGTCAGTAATATAAGTTAAGTCAAGATTTCAAAAATTGAAATATTTTGTCATCCAATTCTTATTGTCTTCAATCAGGATGTCCGTAAAGCGTCGGCATGCATGAAATTTGGTGTACTGGGAACAGACAGTGTTCGGGATGCCCAGTTCTGTCCCCCCAACATGGGCTACTTTACCTTTGCTGCTGCCTATGACAATGGCGGAGTGCAGGTGAGGCCATTTGATTTTTTTTACTTGTTGAGCTGCTAATATAAATTCCTGTCAGGGATACTCTACTGAAGGGTTCAGAAAGATGTTCAAATTTTTTGTCGCTGTTCAGTGTCTTTTATTAATTCGATTCAATCACTGTATCTTTTTTTTTTTAAGTTTTTAATCATACCGGCTTGTAAATGCAAGCAGCAATGTTCATATGTTGAGAGTTTATATAATTCCTTGTTGACTTGGCCTTTCGGTTCAATTTGTGATATGACTTTCACTTTAATTTCCCTTCATATTTTTCTTGTTTTCTATAGACATGGGACATGCGGCGACCAGATCGGTGTGAGAGACAATTTATGGCACATAATGGCCCAGTGTTTTCATTAGACTGGCACCCATTTGATAAGACTTGGTGGCTTGCAACAGGTGGCAGGGACAAAATGGTCAAGGTAAGCTATATATGAAAGCTTTAGTATGCTGTATTTACAGTCACATTGACTTTACTTTTGTCTTGAATTTTTTCCAACCTTACATTTTTTACTACAGTACAAATATTTTTATGTTTATTAAGTTTATAGAAACAGTTGTATTTTAGTTTAGTTTATTTTACATAAAGTGACTCCTTAATAAAGAAATGTGTTCCTTATTAGGGTGAGATAAAATAGTTGTATCATGTGAAAAGATATTTTGATATTGCTCAAAGGATTATTCTCCAAGCTAATGATAAATATTCCTTGTTGTTGGTTTACCAAAAGAAATAGTTACGCTTGACATGTCCAAAAAAAAGTTCAGCTTGTCATGAACATTGTTTATAACAACAAATACTGTCTTGAAACTACTCTAGTAGTTTTGTCCTCCTACATTTCTTTTGTCATGGAGACTGGGCAAGCATTTTCTTACCTCCTTGTGGATTTGTCTGCAAAGATGGAAAATGAGTAAAATCTGGACTGAAAGTTTTGTTGCTCTTTTATGCACAAGAATCATAAATCTTCAACCAACTGCATTAATCTTGCATGGTTCTTAATCCCTAGCCAGTTTGGGGCATCGTTTATTCCGAGTTGTCTAATTGATGTTTTGCTACAGTTGTCCTCACAGGAAAAATAGTTATGTGAAAGGCAACAACTGGTCATCTTATACAAGAAAGAAATGTTGTTTTCTCAGGTGTGGGAGATGCAAAGAGGCTCTGACCGTGCCAGTATGCCCCCATGCCTGCACACCATCACTAACATAGCTCCTGTAGCCAGAGTCAAGTGGCGGCCACACAGGAAACATCACATCTCCAGCTGTTCCCAGCTGATGGACCACAGTGTGAATGTGTGGGATGTGGGACGCCCATACATCCCATTTGCTGCATTTGATGGTCATTTAGATGTGGCGACAAGTGAGATTTCATGTCTTTTTTTTTTTTTTTTTGGGTGTGTGTGTGGAGGGGATATTGCTTCAGATCCCATTTAATAAAGAATAGGTTATATTGAAGACTCAGCATTCACATGAAGTTTTTCACTGCTCAGTTTTTTTTCCAAGGCCTCCTTGCTTCCAGGGTAGTCGACTGTAGTTTCTTCAACTCATATTGACGTTGGTTTCACATTACATTTCTATGGTTTATCCTTCCCTTTGTACCATGAAGGAAATTGAAGAGAGATAGACCTGGCAGTCAATGACAAAGTGGAAGGTCTGATGGGGTGGGATTTTGTAGATAGAACTGATGTTTAACTATAGAGGCTAATTTTCTGCTGGTGCATCATGTCCGTTGCCTTCTGGCAGCTATTTGTCTTTTCAAAAGTTCTTGTCTATGTTTATATGGACCCAAGCGTCTTCATGTTTTAGTGGGTATAAGTTGCAAACTTTACAGGGACAGTTAGCTTTACAAAGACAGTTGGTCTAGTCATGGCCCCTCTTCTTCAATTTTTGTATAGCAAATAACAACCCTTGATCAGTCAGAGGTCTGAAAAACCTGAGAAGAGGGCACAAGTTGCCCTCTAAACCATGTACTGTTGTACCATGTACCATATATAAACCGTTGAAACTGGAAGAGGCTGAATCACTTGAGAAATGAAACAAAAATAGTTGTCTTTAGAAGCTCAATTATGACACAAGAAATAACACACTTTGTTCCAGGTTGTGTGTCTCTTGAAGAAGGGTATGCCTAAAACAAAAAGTATGCTATTTCTTGTGTCACACAACTTGTATTTATTTATTATGTGTGATAGGCAAGCACCTGCCTCTATGTTCACAAGCTCTTGTAAATATATATAATATACATGGTCATATTCACACAGTCCTAGTACTTTTCCCCCCAATTATTCATGGAAGACTCGGACATAGGATAATGATCGTTTCTTTTACTGTGTGACTTTTTGTGTTGTGAGTGCTTCCACTGGGAGGATAGCCCTGCTTCCAATCTTTTCACTTTTGGTTGATGCAAAGGTCTGGTGGGTGGTTGGCGGGTCCTCAGGGGTGGTTTGCTTCTTCTTTCCTATCAAACATATATTGTCCTTATTTTTCCCCTCCTTCTTTTTTTGTGTTTGTTACTCTCTTGTAACACCTCTAATCTTTGGCACTTAAATGACCGTATTGTGTTGCAAGAGCCGTAAAACACTAAAACTTAAAAAAAAAAAAAAAAAAAGGTCTGTTCAGGAAGGTTTTGAGATGTAAAAGGATTAATTAACAAATTTTAAAATTTAACCCTGTTGATACACAGCTTGAGTACCGAAAACATTCAGTGCTTGGGTGGAGGGGAGGGGGGTGTTTGAGCTAACACACCTTTTCATTTGGCTTGAATGTTTCTTGTCAGTTTCATGCAGGATTCTTTTGTTCTTTCAAAGTGCTTTGAAAGAGAAAGGTTATGGTCTTTCTGCTAGGGCATTTTATCTCTCTTAGCCCAGGTTGACCTTGGCAGACAGGGTCAAAGCCTGCCCCCTAAATAATGCTCTAAATTATGTCAATATAGCCATTAAAAAAGCAAACTTACTTTTAACAATTCTTTTTAAAACATGAAACCAACTAAACTATCTGCACCTACTTTTCAGGCATAACATGGCGAGATGACTGCCACGCATTTCTTAGCTGTGGCCAGGATGGCTACATTATCCAACACATATTCAGTGAGGCTAAGCGTCCGGCTGATGATGTCAATCTGGCTGGCGTGGACCTCAGCATCAATGGAGATATAGGTTATGCCTTCTCAGACAAAAGAGGTCAGTATGATGGTAATCTCTTGTTCATGTTTCATAATTGTACTGCAATGGTTAAATCTGAGTAAGTAGAGTATCTAGAACAGTGGTTGCAAACTATTTCGAGTTGTTACCCTTTTGGCCTCCCAGGCTCACACTCGCACTTGAAGTGTCCCCTGTTTGTGAAAAGCAAAGAAATAACGTCTAATTTATACTGTGAACAGATGTATGTCTTTTTTAAATGAAGCTTTTCATAGTTTAGTAGTTTATCTATTGATTTTGGCATTTCAGCTATATGAATGATTATATTTGCGTCACCCCTGTAACTGCACTGGCTTAATGGGACTGGTAATCATGGTGTAGGGATGTCAGCTTCTCGACATCAGGCCAGAAGAAACTTAAGATGCAGTACCCTTTTGGAACCAGTGGTCTACAGTTTGTCGTGTTCCCTTGGCCTTCTATGTACACTCATTTTGCTTGAATTTGTTCAGAGGAAATAAATCAAAATTGGAACATTTATGACTCCCACAGCAAGCTGCCATCTCTTAACAACAACAACAACAACAAAACATTATGAGTTTCTGTGAAATATTTTTTCTTTATTACACTTTAATTTCTTATTCTTATGCTTTTTTACCAAAAAAAACCCCAAAGCTCTTATGTATAGAAATTTATTCAGATTATATTTTTCTCCCCAGATCATACCACTGGTAGTTTAGGAAGAAACAAACGCGTTCCACGGAGTAGACAATTTACCCTGGCTTCCAGTTCTTTATGTTTCTTTCAGAATTGTCAGCAAATGGAGGAAGAGGGAGAGGTAATGTTTTAGAGCAACTATCAGAGAGGTTCTGTGCTCAAGTTATTTTCAAAGTTATCTTAGAAAGTTACACAAATTGTATTGGCACCGTCTTGTTTAAATTGAAAAAGAATGGCAAGCTCTTTTTTTTTTTATTTGCTATAGTATCAGTGCGAATGCTTGTCAAGGTTTGCTCTTTCAGATGGGTCATTTCTTTGAGATGGGAAACAGAACTCTCTCAACAACTTCTGTGCCGTCATCTAGTTTTTTGCTTGTAGATTTGTGAAGACATCTTTTATTTAGATAAGTAACACATTTTGTACATGTACGCATTTATATTTTCAGTTTACTCATTCACTCAAGAAAGGGATGAGTTAAAGGGTGGGATGTGGCTTGCTACTCCATATTTGAAACCATGCCACATGCTCCCAAAAAAACTGTACTTTTTTCAGGTGACTAAAAGCGCAAAAAGGGTAATAAATCTTCTGTTGATGCCAGATCATCTCAGTTCTACAGTTCCTCTTAAATTTTTTTTCCTCCTTAGATGATGATCTTGGGACTGTATGAGATTGCCCTGGAATATAAATTGGAAGGAGGCTCCATTGTGGATATTTGCTGGCACAATGGCGATGTTGCTGAGCGCTATAAAAAACCTCAGGTTTGTTTGAAAAGTGCTGTTTTAGTTAAATGTTTACTCATGCAGGACCTGTTTCACAGTCTTCATTAAGCTTACTGAAGTCAGCAAATGGTTACAGAGAAGTTCAAGGATTCGTGCCTGTACTACTGGGTTGTTTGTCCAAATTATAGATATATCTATAAAATCTACATTTTTAAATCATGTCCTTGAAGTGTTGTGGAGTCATATTTCCGAACTAATTGCACCGTATTCTAACTTCGAAGACTCTTACACTGACTACTTACTGTTGAGTTGGTTATGAAAAAACCTCTGAAGTGGTTCGTGGATTTTGCTGTTGTATCTCCTCCATCTTTGTTTGTGTTTGTTATTTTCTTATAACACTTCTAATCTTCGGCACTTATATGACCTTATTATAACTACGCCTACACCCCCCCCCCCCCCCCAGTGCCACTGACTGTAGTGTCTTTAGGCCATTCCCAAAGGGGGGACATTTCTCGTTCATTCACAGTAGAATTGTATATGGGCTGATTCATCATGTCACGCTCATAACTGTGCCTGATCTACAACCGGGAGCTGCTGCTTTTTCTTTCCTAATCCTTACTATTGTCATTTTCCTCTACTTCTTTTGTATGTTTCTCACACTCTTGTGACCTGCTATTTCCGGGGTGCCTTGATAGTCGAAGCAGACTTTGTGCTGTTGAAGCTGGAGAGGTGAGCAGAGTAAGTCTGATTCCCTGTAAAGACTTCTCTGTTGACACCCACCCCTTGGCGCTCATATGGCCTTATGCAGTTGCGAGCGCCGTAAAACCCTCTACTAAAACTAAACCTAAAAAAACTATGTCTGTGGCAGGTGGCTCAGTCATGGAGGATGCTGGCAGTTATGTACTCACCTTGCCTTGTGCAACAGTGCACTAGTCACACTAGCCGTACCTCTTCTTCCTTGGGAAAATTGAATCCAGCGCCTCCAAAAGAACACCAAGACAAAGGTATGCCTACTGAGTGCCAGCCTGATGCCGGACTTCATGTTTCATGCATAGTTCCTGATTAAAAATCTGTCTATTTAGAATTTTAAGTTGTAGGTGAATGAAAACTTAATATGAAAGCTAGAATTTTGCTTTTTCAAAAAGGACGTAATGGGAATCATTCTGTTGCCATTTCACATTGTTTTCTTTGTTTTCATGCAGCAGAAGAGAGCAAGCCTGGGTTCTTCCTCCGGTGCTCTTTGCATTATTTTGTTTTTCCTTTTTGTGTATTGACTGTGACATCTGAAGTTTTTTGTGGTTTTTGTTTTGTTTTGTTTTTTCATGCATATGATTTCCATGAGTGGGTAGGGGGGAAGGGGGGGGGGGGGGGGCTTTGATCCTGTGTTATAAGGGGTTTTTATTTTTAGAATTATTGCTTAAGTTTGTTTTGTTGTCATCCATTATTTAATGTTGGTATGCTGACATTCTTTTGACTGACTACTGTATTGTAACCCTGTTTTCCGTCCAGCAACAAAGCCTGCCTTGAAGCGCTCTAGAGAAAAAGAAAAGAAGAAAAGTTCCCAAGTTTTGAGCCAGAGTGAGGCTACTTCAGGTACTTTTTTTGTTTTGCTTGGAAATTTGTGTTTAGTATGATAAAAGGGGGTAAAGATTGACAATGTTAGAGCACGGTGGATTCGGAGAAAGATTTTCAACTGGTGTCATAAGTTCTCATCAGAATGAATATTTACATTTTGATTTATGATTGATGGAATAGAACAAAGATTGACATTTTGAGAAATTATAAATAATGGGATAAAAATTCACATATGAGTTGTGACTGTGAAGGGTGTTTTCAGGTCTGAAACGTGATGTAGTCACTTTTTTGCTCCCCTTTTACTTGGTCAAAGATTAGTATGCCTAATTTGGGTACTAGAATAGTCGATCAAGTTTTTAAAAATTATTATGGTCAAATCTACCTAGGATTTATATCTTTGCTATTGCAGCCCTTGTTTTAATGAGGCCACTATCTTCTGAACATATACAAACTGCTAATGTCTAAAAATACTAGGCATTGTTTGTACGCCATCATATCTCATGACAAGAGATTTATATTACCGCATTAAAATTTCAGTGCTACCTTGTTCTCTGGATGGTTTCTTTTTACCTGAAAGGAATTTGAGATTGAAACAGAATTTGGGAATATTTGATATTTTTTTGGGTAAATAAGATTGTGAAGTGTTTGTTCTTTTTATCTTTTCCTCCTAAAATAAGTCTGTCTTATCGTGGGTGAAAATCTTGCTCTTTTTATTGAATTGTTTATACTTTCTGAAATTAATGACTTTCCACCATAGGCAGCAATGATGATAGTTCTGATGTAGAAGCCGAGAGCTCAGAGGTTGACAAGAGTGCTCCGGAGCTACACGTTGGCACCAACTTTTTGTTTGGGGATGGAGAACTCTCCGATGCCTACGGCACAGCAGGAGAGATGAATGCAGACAACTATGTAAGTGCTTATACCATAACTGAGTGTTTGCAGTATTCATATGTACCATATTTGTTATGTCAAAATTGTCCAAGATGACTACCCTTTTTCGAGGAAAATAGAGGCCGTCTTAGACAGATGGACGTTTTGGACAGTACCATTGTAACATTTTTCTTTTTACTGCTAGGGGGAGAGTGGGAAGTGGTCTTTTGTACTGGTGATTACCTTGAACAGATGGCTTTTAGAGCTGGTTAAATTGTACCTTGTTTTTTCTTTCACATTTTGAAAGAGGCTGTTACTTAGCTGATGAAAACTGTAGATGTTTTCTCCATGCTTCATTCTTAGGTGAAAACACATAAAAATACCAGAAGCTATGCTACAGAAAGGGTTTCATGATTGTGTTTCAAACCAATGAATATGTCTTCTTTGGTTTCATTATCATTTCTTGTCAGAATTTTAAGGTCACACAATGCTTCTGCTGTGAGTCGGATGTGAATCAAAGTTTCATGTGTGTGGATCTTTCAAAGTATGTCTAGTGTTTACAAATTTCAATGCTCACATTTTATTCCCCTACCTCTTCTCTGCTTCTACCACTCCATGAACCCACAAATATTCCCCCTACTCTGACCATCTTAAACTTTAACCCATTCACTGACCTTAATATCTCCTCACCTCTCCCTCTCGATCTGTCCTCCTCACCTTCTCCCTCTAACTGTTTCCTCCCCACCCTCTCCCTCCTGTCTTCACATCTACCTCCTTTTGTCTCCTCTCGTCTCCCTCCTAATGAACCCTCACTTCTCCCACCTATTGTCTCCTCACACTCTCCCTACTCTCTTCACCTCCCCCCAGATGTCTCCCCTCACCCTCTTCCTTGTAATGTCTCCTAATCTTTCCCTCCAGTCATCACCTCTCCTTCCTAATATCTCCTCCTCACACTCTCCCTCTTGTCTTCACTTCTTTCCTCCCAGTGTCTCCTCCTGTTCTCCTCCTGTCTCTCTTCCTTATAATGTCTCCTCACATCTTCCTCCTTATAACCCCCCTCCCATATGTCTTCCCCTCTGTCTCTCCTTCCATATGTCTCCTCACTTGTCCGTCCGGATATTTTCTCCCCGCTGTGACTCGCAGGACTGGAAGCTGCAGACTCAGATGCTGCCGTACGAGGCTTTCCAGCCCCGGCATGAGCTGAACCCTATGACAGACACACACCCTATCATGATGGAAGAGTCAGAGATGATCATGCCGGCTATGGACTCTCTGAACATCACACCCGAGGCATTAAGCGAGCCCATGCTGACTATCAAGAGTTCACACGACATGGAGGCTATTGACTTCTCCTCTACTGTGGCCGACGTCATAAAATCCTTTGCAGAACAGGTTCGTAACTTGAAAAGTGTAGAAAAAGAGGTTTGGAAGTTATAAGAGTTTTAAAGTAGCTTCAATGTTTCACTTCAGATTTAAAACTTCTGACATTCAGAACCTTTATAGGTCTGTGTGTGTGTGCTGGCGGGGGTGTGTGCTCTCACAAAGAAACTGGGCACTTAACAATGCAGTAAAGTAATAAAGGAAAGAAAGAAGGGTGCTGAAAACAGAGAACATTTAATGAAATGGCAAGAGATCTCTTTGACAGGGTACATATGTTTGTCTTCAAACTATTCTCTCTAAACATATTTGTTCACCATCAGCGTAATAAGTCAAAAGAAGGATCGTCATTCGAAATACAAAAAGACAGTGGTTTACACCTCAGTCAAGCCAATTAAAGAACTTACATTTTTTCTTCCCTGTTAGGGAACTTGGTGAACAATTTGAGAGGTGACAGACCCTTATGACATAAAAAAACATTCCTCTGATTTTGTTCTTCAAGATCATTTCCTGTTTGTGATGATGGATTTTGTTCTCTCTACTTGTATTTCAATTGTGTTGTCTTATTCTACTTTTTCAAAACTCTTTCAACTTTAATGTGCCATATAAAGTCAAACTCAAATTTCTTACCACTACAGCGCCAACAGAAGTTACTGGAGGGCAATTCGTACTGCTTTACTGTGATGATTTCTGCCTGTATGTCTTACATATATTACAGTCTTTAATTGAGCAATATTGTGTCAATGTGCTTTTCTTTCACTCAAAAAAACGAAATCCTGCCAGACAATCCTTGCTTTGGTGTGCTTTTGTCCATTTCCTTTCAGCCGTTTTTGAATCAAGGAGTCCTTTTTTTTATAGTTTTTTTAGGGCCGAACAGAGCCAAAGCTTTCACATGTCACCAGAGGAAAAGTCTTGTGCTCACAAAGACAACACACACAACGTCCACACACATCACTCAGATGCGTTTCTTTCAAGCACAACAGCACCTTGGCAGAGGCATCATGAAAGAACACTTAACGTAAACACTTTGTGCTGTACTCATCATTCCACAGGGTGATGTACAGACAGCTGTGTCCATGCTGATTGTCCTCGGAGATCACCTGACCCTCCACATCGATGAAGCTTATCAAGAAAGCTGGTTCTTTGCTTACATTGGTCAGTGGTTTGGAAGACATTGTATTCATCTTCTATACTATTTTAATCTTGGTTTTGCTGTGGATCTAGAGCTTTTTATGCAACAGACACACAGTAAACTTTGTCATTGTGCCTTTGTTTTCATATAAATGACTGCATTTGCTTTAGTTTTTCTATGAAGTTTTAGAATTGTTTAAGAACATTTGTTTTTCTTTTTGAGTAACAACTGTGTATGCATGTGATTGAAAGGGAGAGCTTTATGTTATATGCTTGGACGTCGGGAACAACAAAATTTGTATATCTCAGACATAATGCCAATGCCACTGATAAAGTCCAGATAAAGTTCTCAAATAAATTAGTAGCAATGCCATGTTCCTTTCAATTTGGAGCAGGCTGGAGGATACACTTTTTATTATTCCATCTAAATAGGTTACGGCTTCTTTGCTGGTGGGGTGCAATTCATAACCTGTCTCAGTCCTGCACTGAAGTGCCATCTTTTCTCTCCTCTCTTTCGTAGTGTCATGCCAGTCTGTGAACTTGGTGCCCAGTCTATCAACAAGAAAATTAGTCCCCTTGAATTCCACATAATTAGGAGCTGTCTTCGAGGAAACCTCTGCATGTGTAAACAGGGCATAAAAGTCTTACAATGCCTTACTTTCAGATTTACCAGATGCCTTGAAAATGCCCTTAACTGTCTAATACAGCATTTAATCATATAGTTATGTATTCCTTTCAGATTTGTTGGGTCGTTATGAGCTGTGGACCGTGTCCAATACAGTGATCAAACATTCCAAGCTACTGGGCGTTTGCACACTGAACCAGAAGTCCACTGTGATCCACACACTGTGTGCCAAGTGCTCGCGCTCGTGTGAAAGGGCACCCTGGCTTTGCGACAAGTGCAAACGCATTACGGGTCTGTGTAGTGTTTGGTAAGTGGATGTAGTCTTCCATGACAGCTATTTTTCCATGTTTGATTATGATATTTCTGCCCGTCAGTTGCTACTTGCTCCTATAAGGTCAACTTTTATTTATACCAATGTTACTGTTACTGCCATGTGTTCCCAGCTAAGTGTGGCTTTTACTAACAACAGCACACCAGCAGTGGAATTTTAGTTGACACTGGGGATTCCAAGTGGAGCACCGTATCTCGTGGAGGTCACAGGACCAGAAGTCCACTGTGATCCACTACACTAGTACAGGCAGAATAGTAGCATTTTGCCACTAAAATGCATTTTGACCCACACTTAGACGACTACAATGTAAATCTAAGACATTAATGGCATCAATATAGCATGAATATCATTTTGTCATCACATGATTTATATTGCAGAAGTTATTCTGTGACTTTTTTTTCTTCTCTTAGTTCATCACGTGTAGTAAAGAAAATTATTGTCTTTGGTGCTAATCTGATGATAAGGGCCGATCTAGCATAGTATTGGGGGGGGGGGGGGGGGGGGGGGCAGTTCACCTTTGAAACTGGTATTTGTGTCTCGGTAGGTGTAGAGCTAATACAAGGGTTTTTTTGTTTTGTTCTTTCCTCAGTCACCACCCAGTGAAGGGTCTGATGGTCTGGTGCCAGGGCTGCTGTCACGGTGGCCACATAGAGCACATGCGGGAGTGGATGGCCATCAGCTCCCACTGCCCGGCTGGCTGCGGACACCAGTGCGAGTACGTCTGACCACAGGTTCTGAGCCCAATGTTGGGTCAGAGCAAAGCCTCACTGTGATATTCTGGCTATGCAGTTGTTACCATCGTCTTCATGAAGATGCATAACGGGTTTTCTGCTTTCATGATGATGTGTAACCGGTTTTCTGACTTCATGAAGATGTATAACGGGTTTTCTGACTGCCCTACCTGCAATACGGTGTAGCCTGGAGAAGTTATCTTTGAATATTGTGCTGTATGTGGTCCTTGTTTTTATTATCACCCTAAATGGCGAAATGTAACATTTGTCCTTTAGTCTTGCTGTAAACTGCAAGTAGTCCCTAATTGGGTGGGAATGCAGAGCCTATATTGTTGGTATAGCTTTAGTTCTTGCCACAAAGCGTCGATGTTCCGAAGGTTTTGTACCTGCTTTGAAATTTGGTAAGATCCTTATCAAGTAATATTCTTTCACCTCTACTTGCAGTATACCCATTTTGCTTACCCTTAAGACAGAAGTAGAAAAATTTTAAGTATAATTTTTTATGCATTTTCTATGGCAAATGTTTGCCTTTGACAGCTCCAAATTAAAGGGAAGGCATTTTCTTTTCTAAGAGTGAGATCGAAATTGGAAAGCGTGTTGAAAAGTCAAGATACACTATCCCTAAGACAAATTGCCCTATGCATCTTCCTTTTCTTTATTACGAGAATGTAGTTTATCTCATTTGCTGAATTTCACCCAATTTACAAGCTAAGTTTATCCCTTCATGTAAATATGACGAGTCCCGACGATTTGGTTCACTAGGTACATGTTTCGTTATTTGAGTTTTTGGTACAGATGCAAAGAAGACATAATTCCCCTTCATATGACATCAATATCAAATGAATACAATAATATTTAACGAAATGATGCACAATTCAATTTTGGAATGCTTTTCTGCTTTCTGAGGCAAAATACTGATATATTCCCAATCAAAGATTTGACAAATACTACCATCACAGAACAAAGTCGTTCTCCAAAATAGCTTTAGAAACACATTTAACTGCAAATTTTAAAGATTGTTTTTTTTTCCCCCGACAGATAAGTCATTCAAAAGTCTAATAAAGGAAAAAAAATTGTTGCTTATTTTTAGACCCAACATGTGTTTTTGTCAATTTCTGCGCTCGTCAGCTCGATGTACCTAGTGGACCGAACCGCCGGGATGCGTCACAAATGGTTCGGACATGGGACTTTTCTGTTTTACTTAACAAGTTACAGCTGAACTGAGATATTTTTAAAATGCATGCTGTGACATCATTTTCCACCCTCATGTTGTGCCATGGGTTCATTTTTTTTCAGTGTGTTCAATTACATAATTTTGGGTGAATGTCAGTGCAATATTATTGGTACCGTAATGATAATGATAATTGCATTTATACAGCACATATCCACGCTGTATAGTAGAGCTGTGCCCATTCGATTTCACTGTTTGACATGTATTATTTTTGTGCTATTCACTGCTATTCGAATCGTGGCAGAGCCATTCGAATGCTGTGTGATTTTTTCCACAATGGATTTCTTCTAATTTTTCTCAACCCGCAGTAAAATTAAAGCATAATAAAATATCTAAATACTCTTGAGGAAAATTCAACGTTACGTTCAAGTTGATGATTACGTGACAGAGTGATAAGAGGGGCCAGTAGGAGTTATCAAACATGCCTCTAAAAGGCACTCATGGTGCACTCAATAGACAGTCGCTTCAAAGCATAGCCGGAGATTTTGTGTACATTGCATAGCCTACTGAGCTCCCTTTGCACGATTCGACATTCGAAGCACAGGGCGATATGGGAACCCATCACCGCTTTGAAGCACAGCGAATGTTTTTTTGTACATTGGTATACTTAGTTCCTGTTTCGTGGTTGGCAGGTGATCTGCTGTGGTTTGCTCCTCCTTTCTTATCAAACAGCTATCATACTTATCTCCCCTCCTTCTTTTTTATGTTTGTTACTCTCTTGTAACACCTCTAATCATCTGGCGCTCATATGACCGTATGCAGTTGTGAGCGCCTTAAAACCTCTACTAAAACTTTAAAAATACTTAGTTCCTATTGGACAATGTGACATTCGAAGTATGGGTACCCACCACCACTTCGAAGCGCAGCGAATGGTTTTTGTATACTGGCATACTTAGCTCCCCTTACACGATTCAACATTCGAAGCATAAGGCTATATGGATACTCACCACCGCTTTGAAGCGCAGCAACGATATGGGTACCCACTGCCGCTTCGAAGCACAGTGAATGTTGTGTTGTTTTTTGGGGGGTTTTTTTTATTGTAGGCTGACAGACTTACTTAGCTCCCCTTGACATTCGAAGCACAAGGTTATGAATGTTGTGATGTGATGTCATCGCATCACAATGTGTCGTGCGTGATTAGAGCCAGTTGTGTTTTGACAAAGAACAAAAACAAAAACCACCAAAAAATCAGCGAGCCACCATAGCCTGCTTGTGGGGAGATCCAAAAGGTTTATACAATTTGTAGGTATGCCTAGGTGCTGTGGGGGGATGGCAGGGGGGGACTAACGAAATGAGAGATTAAGAGTATTATAAGCTGTTCTGGCAAGGCTAAGATTACACATTACCCACCTTACTGTTACACTCACATTGCCCTTTGTCTCAATTCTTATTCCATTGTCTGCGCTCTTACTTTATGGCTACATTGCAGATTGTTGGAGTACATTCTGTTCCCTTGCTTTTGTCCATTTTAAGCTGGGTCTTTGATTGTTGCACCGGTGTGTAATTTCTGAGATAGCGTTGTCCTTCAGATTGCAAATTTGCATTCCTTTTCTGTTTTATACGTTCAAAATTACAGGCATAATTTGTATTGTTATTATTTGGCCTATTATGCTGCCAACAGAATTCTCTTGAACCTTTGTAACCATTTACTGCTTGAAGTCTTAGCTTATATGTAAATCTGTGCAGTTGAATTTAGTGTGATGTGATCAAATTGTTCCATGTGAAGCAAACGCACGGGAAGTATTGTTTGGCAGTTATTTGAGAAGAATAGCGAAATAAAGCTACCAATAAAAGAACCTCCCAAAGACAATACAACCTAGCGAACAGCAGTGTTGTGTGACGCAGCGACAGTGTGCATGTGTGTTACATCTATCGCTCGCCGCTCGCTTGGTAAATATTTTTCTCCCACCTTTTTTTTTTCTTCCAAGCAGACACTAGACACGAGCGGTCACCTATTTTTATTATTCCCCCTCTCCCCTCCCCCTCTGCAACAGTCGCCTTTTTGTTATTTATTTTTTAAAAGCAAAAAAAGCATTGTTTCATCACCGCACGTGCTGCGCAAGCCGTGGGTGCTATACGTAAAGAGGCAGGCACACACTGAGCTGAGAATCATCTGATGAATAGTGCTGTGACTGAATAGTGAATATTCAATGAAGAATGCTGCTGATAGACCCACTGCATTATCCCTCACCTTAGGCCTACATGTACAGGTATAATAAAAAAAACTATTTGCACACGGCAGTCGAATGGCACGAATAGTGACATCGGGCTTCGAAGCTTCAATGATTTTTTAAAAACTCAAAACCGCACAGCACTACTGTATAGCATGTTTCTGTGCCTCACAACTTTTAATACCCTAGCAGTCCCTAGAACACTGAGAAACATTCTCAGCTACCCCAGAAGCATACAGTGCAAGCAGCCAATTAGAGCTAACTTGAGGCGCTCAAATAATAAAAAACTAACGAAATCTTTCAGTCTAAAGCAGGGTACCCCATCCTTCCAGGGTGAAGTGAAGAAAATTTGTAGAAAGTGCCTTTCCCAATGACATATCGTTGGGCTCCAATGTGATTCTAATCCATGACCTTACGGTTAATTATTAAAATTTGCTTTTGGCATGCTTATGGGAACTTTGTCTCCGAAATCTCTGTCATTCTCCTCTTGCATTTCTCATTCCATTTTTTCATCACGCTTTGGGTTTTTAACGCAACTCCAAAATAGCTGTCTGTCATTTGAAAAAAAAAATTAAATAAGTCTGCTACAGACTGAGGTTCAGTTCTTTATAGTAGCAGCTTTGCACATATGCCTCATGATTAGTGCAATGGCACCATTCGTAAGAACAACCCCTTCATCCAATTAGCAAGACCTAATAAAAAGTTAAAAAGACGCCATAAAGGCTTACTTTTACAGTACCGTTTCAAGTTTTTACTATTGCTTTAACAATTGCTTTGTGATCACTATGAAATGCATATGTTTTCTATGATAATAATTTGCTGTGAAACAGCTTGATGATAAATAGTATATATTCTTGGAAGAGGAAAAATTATATCATGTATTATTTATAAGTATTAGCTGTGAGAGTGTTATGTCGTTAGTGTTATAGTTAGTGTGACAATTTGAAGTTTTGATGCAAAGATGTCTGAATTGAAAGCAGAAGTCTGAAATATGCTGAAAGGAAGTGTGCTTTGCACAGTAGCTTCTTTCTCTTGCCATTTAATTATTTTAATGTAAGTGTAACAAGTACATATTTCATAATTAATGTATTTTTGATGCCTTCAGTGTAGTTCTGAAAAAGTTTAAATCTTTAAATACTTCAGAGTGTTGTAAAAAATTGTGCTGTCTGATTAGTAAAGTGAAGTTTACAGGTTTACAGTTTGTACAGGTGTTCATGCTATTGAAACTCTATGCTGCCAGTGCTGTGCTGTTGGCTTATTCCTTGTTGAGTACATAACACAAACAACGATAACAAAAGTGCCAATAGTAGGTCTGGCTTCTATCTTGTCTTTTGAAGTATGCTCACTTTTTCTGCAGGAAATTGGTGGATGCTATGGTATGATGTGCTCCTTCTTTTCTTTCCATTTTCCCTTTTATAGTTATATTGTTATTATCTTGGCGTCTCATTGTAAAACTTTACATCTCTTTTCTCAATCCGTGGGTGGTTGACGGGTGCTCTGGTGTGGTTTGCTTCTTCTTTCCTATCAAACATCCATCGTCTTTATCTCCCTTCCTTCTTTTTTGTGTTTCTTACTCTCTTGCAACTCCTCTAATCTTCGGCACTTATATATGACTATATTGTGTTGCAAGTGCCGTAGAACACTTACTAAAACTAAACTTTCTCAATCCTCTGTGCCCATTGCGCATCTCTCAAGTCTCTAAAAATATTCCTCCCCATTCTGTTGGGTTTTTAAAATTTGTTTTCTTTGATGACTCAAAGTAGAAAAAAGTCTGCCTACAAATTCTCATATTTAATAAGTTGTGTCTATTATGGAAGCTTCACCTTAACAAAATCTCGCTACTCTTAAACTTAAAGCAAGTCAGTGTTTTTCAGTCTCCCAACGACATTTTATATACAGTCAAACATCTCCAAGACGGAATCGCAAGGGAGCCAGATAAAATTTTGGCTTGGACAGAGGAAATTAGGGGGATGGGGGGGATCCATTGGGCCAGTTAGTAGTAGTAGTACACTGTGGGATGATAGATTACCTGTCCGGGTGGCAAGCATTGGTCTAAACTTCACACCTCCCAAGTGCTATGTAGCCTCTGTGAATGATGTGTGTCAGTCTAACTTCCATTGCCACCAATTAAAAACAAAAAACGATTGAATGTCTCCTTTGTTTTCATGCTTATCCTCATCCATTTTCTTTAAAATCAGGGTTGAGCAGGCAAAACATTTTCCATCTTGGACAATTCAAATCCCTTTGAAGGAAAGGAGTTTCTCTTTCTGTCTCCAGGTTGAGCAGGTCGGGGGGGGGGGGGGGGGGGGGGGGAGAGATTCCTTTATGACAGGTTTCCGTCTTGGGCAGGTTTCCATGAATGATTAAGGCAGGTTCGACTGTACCTATAGTGGGCATTTGAAATTAAACTTTGCTGGTTGACGAGAATTGTTTCTGCAGTGTGGAAATAAGCTTTTATTTATCTAGCGCACTGATTTGTTACACCTAGTCTTTGCACAATGGAATTCATTTATATCACATCTGGAATAATGAGAGCCTAGGATTAAGATATCTTTTGATTTCCACTACGTTTCTCTTTATTTAATATTTGTGTATCATCTGCTGACTCTCGTTATTGCCAGTTCAGCTGTAGTTATGCCATGCGAAAATGTAATTTTATTTCTGTATTTTGACTCCTTGCCTGATATTTGATCA